AGGAGGTATGGTTAGCAGTAATCTGAAGCCAAGTGTTCACAATAAGTGTTCGCAATAAAGCTAAGTATAAGTAATAGAAACCATCAGGTTGTTCTTCAACTCTATATATCCTTGGTTAGGCCTCGTTTAGATTATGCTGCGCGGTTTTGGTCACCGTATTACAGAATGGATATAAATGCACTGGAAAACGTAGAGGGGATGACAAAGTTGATCCCATGTATCAGAAATCTTCCCTATGAGGACAGACTGAGGGCCCTGAATCTGCACTATCTAGAAAGGCGTAGAATTAGGGGGGATATGATTGAGGTGTATAAATGGAAAGCAGGAATTAATAAAGGGGATGTAAATAGCGTACTAAAAATATCTGACATAGACAGGACTCGCAGCAGTGGTTTTAAATTGGAAAAGTTCAGATTCAGGAAGGATATAGGAAAGCACTGGTTTGGTAATAGAGTTGTGGAGGAGTGGAACAAACTCCCAAGTACCGTCGTAGAAGCTAAGACGTTGTGTAGTTTTAAAAATAGGTTGGATAAATACATGAGTGGGTGTGAGTTGGACCTGACTAGCTTGTGCTACTAAGTCGGATGCACTGCTCCTCCCTTAAGTGACGTTTCTAACCTGACTAGGTCAAGGCGTTGGCTTAAACCGGTGGGAGAATTGGACCTGCCTCGCATAGGCCAGTAGGCCTGTTGCAGTATTCGTTCTTATGTGAGTCTCCCTGAAGATGACAGCCGATTCCTTGGACTCTGTCAGTGGTAAATAGAGGGTCATTGTAGTTAAACATGTGTAGTCCCATGATAGTATAGCATGGTGACTGCAGGTTAACACGTGGCTGACCTGTGATGTTTATCACTGGGCTCTCCTGCGTCATGAACCACAGGACTCTCCTCTTGATGTCCTTGACTGACCTCCTCGTATCATTCTCTCTCTCTCTCTCTCTCTCTCTCTCTCTCTCTCTCCCTGTCTCTCGAACCCCATCCCATAACATCACCAAGGAGGGAGCACCACCCTCTGACATCACCAAGAATCATCATAAACTGACGTCACCGGAAGGAAGGAAGGCAGCATCATCCACTGACGTCACTAGTGAGGGAGTACTACTCACTGACAAGAACAGGGGGGCCAACACCACCCACTGGCATCAACAGGGAGGCTGCACCACCCACTGACATCAACAGGGAGGCTGCACCACCCACTGACATCAACAGGGAAGCAACACCACCCACTGACATCAACAGGGAAGCTGCACCACGCACTGACATCAACAGGGAGGCAGCACTACCCACTGACATCAACAGGGAGGCAACACCACCCACTGACATCAACAGGGAGGCTGCGCCACCCACTGACATCAGCAGGGAGGCAACACCACCCACTGACATCAACAGGGAGGCAACACCACCCACTGACATAAACAGGGAGGCTGCACCACCCACTGACATCAACAGGGAGGCAACACCACCCACTGACATCAACAGGGGAGCAACGCCACCCACTGACATAAACAGGGAGGCAGCACCACCCTTTGACATCAACAGGGAGGCAGTACCACCCACTAACGTCAACAGGGAGGCAGCACCACACAACATCAACAGGGAGGCAGCACCATCCACTGACATCACCAGGGAGGCAGCACCACTCACTGACATTAACAGGGAGGCAGCACCACCCACTGACATCAACAGGGAGGCAGCACCACCAACTGACATCAACAGGGAGGCAGCACCACCCACTGACATCAACAGGGGGGCAACGCCACCCACTGACATAAACAGGAGGCAGCACCACCCCTTGACATCAACAGGGAGGCAGTACCACTCACTAACGTCAACAGGGAGGCAGCACCACACATTAACATCACCAGGGAGGCAGCACCACCCACTGACATTAACAGGGAGGCAGCACCACCCACTGACATCAACAGGGAGGCAGCACCACCAACTGACATCAACAGGGAGGCAGCACCACCCACTGACATCAACAGGGAGGCAGTACCACCCACTGGCGTCAACAGGGAGGCAGAACCACCCACTAACGTCAACAGTGAGGCAGCACCACACATTAACATCAGTAGGGAGGCAGCACCACCCACTGACATCAACAGGGAGGCAGCACCACCCACTGACATCGAAGGGAAGGAGCACCACCCACTGACATCAACAGGGAGGCAGCACCACCCACTGACATCAACAGGGAGGCAGCACCACCAACTGACATCAACAGGGAGGCAGCACCACCCACTGACATCAACAGGGAGGCAGTACCACCCACTGGCGTCAACAGGGAGGCAGAACCACCCACTAGCGTCAACAGTGAGGCAGCACCACACATTAACATCAATAGGGAGGCAGCACCACCCACTGACATCAACAGGGAGGCAGCACCACCCACTGACATCGAAGGGAAGGAGCACCACCCACTGACATCAACAGGGAGGCAGCACCACCAACTGACATCAACAGGGAGGCAGCACCACCCACTGACATCAACAGGGGGGCAACGCCACCCACTGACATAAACAGGAGGCAGCACCACCCCTTGACATCAACAGGGAGGCAGTACCATCCATAACGTCAACAGGGAGGCAGCACTACACATTAACATCACCAGGGAGGCAGCACCACCCACTGACATTAACAGGGAGGCAGCACCACCCACTGACATCAACAGGGAGGCAGCACCACCAACTGACATCAACAGGGAGGCAGCACCACCCACTGACATCAACAGGGAGGCAGTACCACCCACTGGCGTCAACAGGGAGGCAGAACCACCCACTAACGTCAACAGTGAGGCAGCACCACACATTAACATCAGTAGGGAGGCAGCACCACCCACTGACATCAACAGGGAGGCAGCACCACCCACTGACATCGAAGGGAAGGAGCACCACCCACTGACATTAACAGGGAGGCAGCACCACCCACTGACATCAACAGGGAGGCAGCACCACCAACTGACATCAACAGGGAGGCAGCACCACCCACTGACATCAACAGGGAGGCAGTACCACCCACTGGCGTCAACAGGGAGGCAGAACCACCCACTAGCGTCAACAGTGAGGCAGCACCACACATTAACATCAATAGGGAGGCAGCACCACCCACTGACATCAACAGGGAGGCAGCACCACCCACTGACATCGAAGGGAAGGAGCACCACCCACTGACATCAAGAGGGAGGCAGCACCACCCACTGACATCAACAGGGAGGCAGCACTACCCATTGACATCAACAGGGAGGCAGCACCACCCACTGACATCAACAGGGAGGCAGCCCTACCCACTGACATCAACAGGGAGGCAGCACTACCCACTGACATTAACAGGGAGGCAGCACTACCCACTGACATCAACAGGGAGGCAGCACTACCCACTGACATCAACAAGGAGGCAGCACTACCCACTGACATCAGCAGGGAGGCAGCACTACCCACTGACATCAACAGGGAGGCAGCACTACCCACTGATATCAACAGGGAGGCAGCACCACCCACTGACATCAACAGGGAGGCAGCACTACCCACTGACATTAACAGGGAGGCAGCACCACCCACTGACATCAACGGGGAGGCATCACTACCCACTGACATTAACAGGGAGGCAGCAGTACCCACTGACATCAACAGGGAGGCAGCAGTACCCACTGACATCAACAGGGAGGCAGCACTACTCACTGACATTAACAGGGAGGCAGCACCACCCACTGACATCAACAGGGAGGCAGCACCACCCACTGACATCAACAGGGACGCAGCACTACTCACTGACATTAACAGGGACGCAGCAGTACCCACTGACATCAACAAGGAGGCAGCAGTACCCACTGACTTCAACAGGGAGGCAGCACTACTCACTGACATTAACAGGGAGGCAGCACCACCCACTGACATCAACAGGGAGGCAGCACCACCCACTGACATCAACAGGGACGCAGCACTACTCACTGACATTAACAGGGAGGCAGCACCACCCACTGACATCAACAGGGACGCAGCACTACTCACTGACATTAACAGGGACGCAGCAGTACCCACTGACATCAACAAGGAGGCAGCAGTACCCACTGACTTCAACAGGGAGGCAGCACTGCCCACTGACATCAACAGGGAGGCAGCACTATCCACTGACATCAACAGGGAGGCAGCACTACTCACTGACATCAGGGAGGCAGAATCACCCACTGACATCAACGGGGAGGAAGCAGCACCCACTGACATCAACAGGGAGGCAGCACCACCCACTGACATCAACAAGGAGGCAACACCACCCACTGACATCAACAAGGAGGCAACACCACCCACTGACATCAGCAGGGAGGCAGCTCCACCCACTTATATCAGGGAGAAAAACCAAGACACTGAACAATAACACAAGACAATGAACAGTAAAGCCAGTAAACTAGGTTGCCTGCTTTACTGGGTTTAAAGGTTCGACCACAAGAGTTATTAAGGCTGTGTCTGCTGTACGTCACCAGTCACACATAGTACTTATAATGATACCTTTATTAAGGATTAAATTAAACTGTTTATATAGTGGAAGATACGTACCTCTTAGTGTATATACACTGATGCACACCTCAGTGTATATGCACTGAGATACACATATATCAGTATATATACACTGAGAAATACACATCTCAGTATATATACACTGAGATACACATATCGGTATATATTTACACAGAGATACACCTCTCGGTGAATCTCAGTGTACATATAGTGACATACGTACCTGATATATAATACACTGACATACACACACCTCTCGGTATATAGGCTTGCTTCCACACGCATTGTTGCGGTGTTCCAGACCATGGAGTTGAACTCTTCTCCTGGCTCAGGGACTGACCACCTCAGATCCCTTTTTCTCCAAAGTTGATGGATTGATTACATCATCTTTCACCACTACAGCTGCTCCTATATTTGACTGAGGAAGCTTACTGTGTAGGTGAATTGTTTAAACAATACAGATACCCAACTTTACTGTTGTTTGTTGCAGGTGAGCAGAGAGATGGAGGAACGACTGACGTCACTGGAAGTGTCAGACGTCAAGCTCGTCGACCTGACATCATCTCTCATTCCCACCCTCATACAGCACTTTACTAAGACCCCCAGGGTAAGAGTTCCTGAGACGCCAGGGTAAGATAGTTCTTGAGACCCCAGGGTAAGGTAGTTCCTGAGACCCCAGGGTACGATAGTTCCTGAGACCCCAGGGTAAGATAGTTTCCGAAACCCCAGGGTGAGGTAGTTCCTGAGACCCCAGGGGAATAGTTCCTGAGACCCCAGGGTAAGATAGTTCCTGAAACCCCAGGGTAAGATAGTTCTTGAGACCCCAGGGTAAGATAGTTCCTGAGACCCCAGGGTAAGATAGTTCCTGAGATCCCAGGGTAAGATAGTTCCTGAGACCCCAGGGTACGCTAGTTCCTGAGACCCCAGGGTAAGATAGCTCCTGAGACCCCAGGGTAAGATAGTTCCTGATACCCCAGGGTAAGGTAGTTCCTGAGACCCCAGGGTAAGATAGTTCTTGAGGCCCCAGGGTAAGATAGTTTCTGAAACCCCACGGTAAGGCAGTTCCTGAGACCCCAGGGTAATAGTTCCTGAGACCCCAGGGTAAGATAGTTCCTGAGACCCCAGGGTAAGGTAGTTCCTGAGACCCCAGGGTAAGTTAGTTCTTGAGACCCCAGGGTACCTAAAGTCGGTTCCTGACCAGCCGGGCTGTGGCTCGTACGTTGGTTTGCGTGCAGCCAGCAGCAACAGCCTGGTTGATCAGGCTCTGATCCACCAGGAGGCCTGGTGACAGACCGGGCCGCGGGGGCGTTGACCCCCGGAACTCTCTCCAGATAAACTCCAGGTAAGATAGTTCCTGAGACTCCAGGGTACAATAGTTCTTGAGACCCCAGGGTAAGATAGTTCCTGAGACCCCAGGGTAAGATAGTTACTAACACCATCACCATGGTAAGATAGTTACTAACACCACCATAGTAAGATAGTTACTAACCACCATGGTAAGATAGTTATTAACACCACCATGGTAAGATAGTCACTAACACCACCATGGTAAGATAGTTACTAACACCACCATGGTAAGATAGTCACTAACACCACCATGGTAAGATAGTTACTAACACCACCATGGTAAGATAGTTACTAACACCACCATGGTAAGATAGTCACTAACACCACCATGGTAAGATAGTCACTAACACCACCGTGGTAAGATAGTTACTAACACTACCAGAGTAAGATAGTCACTAACACCACCATCGTCACTAACACCACCATGGTAAGATAGTTACTAACGCCACCATGGTAAGATAGTCACTAACACCACCATGGTAAGATAGTTACTAAAACCACCATGGTAAGATAGTCACTAACACCACCATGGTAAGATAGTCACTAACACTACCAGAGTAAGATAGTCACTAACACCACCATGGTAAGATAGTTACTAATACTACCATGGTAAGATAGTCACTAACACTACCAGAGTAAGATAGTCATTAACACCACCATGGTAATATAGTCACTAACACTACCAGAGTAAGATAGTTACTAACTACCAGAGTAAGATAGTCACTAACACCACCATAGTAAGATAGTTACTAACACCATCATGGTAAGATAGTTGCTAACACCACCATGGTAAGATAGTCACTAACACCACCATGGTAAGATAGTTACTAACACCACCATGGTAAGATAGTTACTAACACCACCATGGTAAGATAGTTACTAACACCACCATGGTAAGATAGTTACTAACACCACCATGGTAAGATAGTTACTAACACCACCATGGTAAGATAGTTACTAACACCACCAAAGTAAGATAGTCACTAACACCACCAGGGTAAGATAGTTACTAACACTACCATGGTAAGATAGTCACTAACACCACCATGGTAAGATAGTTACTAACACCACCAAAGTAAGATAGTCACTAACACCACCAGGGTAAGATAGTCACTAACTCCACCATGGTAAGATAGTCACTAACACCACCATGGTAAGATAGTTACTAACACCACCATGGTAAAATAGTTATTAACACCACCATGGTAAGATAGTTGCTAACACCACCAAAGTAAGATAGTCACTAACACCACCAGGGTAAGATAGTCACTAAGCCTGGTCACAGACCGGGCCGTGGAGGTGTTGATACTCAAAAACCTCTCCAGTATACTCCCCTCTCCAGTATATTCCCCCTCTTCAGTATACTCCCCTCTCCAGTATATTCCCCTCTCCAGTATACTCCCCTCTCCAGTATACTCCCCTCTCCAGTATACTACCCTCTCCAGTATACTCTCCTCTCCAGTATACTCCCCTCTCCAATATACTACCCTCTCCAGTATACTCCTCTCTCCAGTATACTCCCCTCTTCAGTATACTCCCCTCTCCAGTATATTCCCCTCTCCAGTATACTCCCTCTCCAGTATACTCCTCTCTCCAGTATGCTCCCCTCTCCAGTATATTCCCCCTCTTCAGTATACCCCCCTCCAGTATATTCCTCTCTCCAGTATACTCCCCTCTCCAGTATACTCCCCTCTCCAGTATACTCCCCTCTCCAATATACTCCCCTCTCCAGTATACTCCCTACTCTCCAGGTAACACCACCAAGTCTTGTACACTTTCACTGCTATGATTCACAGGTCAACAATGTTCGTTTCCTGACGCAAGTGCAGAGGTATGTGGTACCGAGGTTAGGTTAGGTAAGGTATGTCAGGAAACAAGACGAGTGTTTCCAGACGCGAGTCTTAGTCATTATCTGAGGTACTGTAGCTACCTTAAAATTCCTTGGATAAAATTTCTCATTCCCCAGGCACTGTATAACACCTGCATTAACATTCCCCAGGTACTGTATAACACCTGCATTAACATTCCCCAGGTACTGTATAACACCTGCATTAACATTCCCCAGGTACTGTATAACACCTGCATTAAACATTCCCCAGGTACTGTATAACACCTACATTAACATTCCCCAGGTACTGTATAACACCTGCATTAACATTCCCCAGGTACTGTATAACACCTGCATTAACATTCCCCAGGTACTGTATAACACCTACATTAACATTCCCCAGGCACTGTATAACACCTGCATTAACATTCCCCAGGTACTGTATAACACCTGCATTAACATTCCCCAGGTACTGTATAACACCTGCATTAACATTCCCCAGGTACTGTATAAACCCTACATTAACATTCCCCAGGTACTGTATAACACCTACATTAACATTCCCAGGTACTGTATAACACCTGCATTAACATTCCCCAGGTACTGTATAACACCTGCATTAACATTCCCAGGTACTGTATAACACCTACATTAACATTCCCAGGTACTGTATAACACCTACATTAACATTTCCCCAGGTACTGTATAACACCTACATTAACATTCCCCAGGTACTGTATAACACCTGCATTAACATTCCCCAGGTACTGTATAAACCTACATTAACATTCCCCAGGTACTGTATAACACCTGCATTAACATTCCCCAGGTACTGTATAACACCTACATTAACATTCCCCAGGTACTGTATAACACCTACATTAACATTCCCCAGGTACTGTATAACACCTGCATTAACATTCCCCAGGTACTGTATAACACCTACATTAACATTCCCCAGGCACTGTATAACACCTGCATTAACATTCCCCAGGTACTGTATAACACCTGCATTAACATTCCCCAGGTACTGTATAACACCTACATTAACATTCCCCAGGTACTGTATAACACCTACATTAACATTCCCCAGGCACTGTATAACACCTACATTAACATTCCCCAGGTACTGTATAACACCTACATTAACATTCCCCAGGTACTGTATAACACCTGCATTAACATTCCCCAGGTACTGTATAACACCTGCATTAACATTCCCCAGGTACTGTATAACACCTACATTAACATTCCCCAGGTACTGTATAACACCTACATTAACATTCCCCAGGTACTGTATAACACCTGCATTAACATTCCCCAGGTACTGTATAACACCTACATTAACATTCCCCAGGTACTGTATAACACCTGCATTAACATTCCCCAGGTACTGTATAACACCTACATTAACATTCCCCAGGCACTGTATAACACCTACATTAACATTCCCCAGGTACTGTATAACACCTACATTAACATTCCCCAGGTACTGTATAACACCTGCATTAACATTCCCCAGGTACTGTATAACACCTGCATTAACATTCCCCAGGTACTGTATAACACCTCATTAACATTCCCCAGGTACTGTATAACACCTACATTAACATTCCCCAGGTACTGTATAACACCTACATTAACATTCCCCAGGTACTGTATAACACTACATTAACATTCCCCAGGTACTGTATAAACACCTACATTAACATTCCCCAGGTACTGTATAACACCTACATTAACATTCCCCAGGTACTGTATAACACCTACATTAACATTCCCAGGTACTGTATAACACCTGCATTAACATTTCCCCAGGTACTGTATAACACCTACATTAACATTCCCCAGGTACTGTATAACACCTACATTAACATTCCCCAGGTACTGTATAACACCTGCATTAACATTCCCCAGGTACTGTATAACACCTACATTAACATTCCCCAGGCACTGTATAACACCTACATTAACATTCCCCAGGTACTGTATAACACCTACATTAACATTCCCCAGGTACTGTATAACACCTACATTAACATTCCCCCAGGTACTGTATAACACCTACATTAACATTCCCCAGGTACTGTATAACACCTACATTAACATTCCCCAGGTACTGTATAACACCTACATTAACATTCCCCAGGTACTGTATAACACCTGCATTAACATTCCCCAGGTACTGTATAACACCTACATTAACATTCCCCAGGTACTGTATAACACCTACATTAACATTCCCCAGGTACTGTATAACACCTGCATTAACATTCCCCAGGTACTGTATAACACCTACATTAACATTCCCCAGGCACTGTATAACACCTACATTAACATTCCCCAGGTACTGTATAACACCTACATTAACATTCCCCAGGTACTGTATAACACCTACATTAACATTCCCCAGGTACTGTATAACACCTACA